ACCAAAATCTAGCAGAGACACAACCAAAAAAGAAATCACCAGGCCAAGAGACTTGATGAACATAGATGTAAAAATCTTCAACAAAATGCCAGTAGCACATCAAAAAGCTAATCTACCATGATCAAGTATGCTTTATTACTGGGATGCGAGGTTAGTTCAATATATACAAATCAATAAATGTGAGTCATGACATAAATGGAACTAAAAACAAAAACACAGGATGTTATCAGTAGATGCCAAAAAGGAGTTTGATAAAATGCAACATCCCTTCATGTTAAAAACCGTTGACAAACTGGGCATTGAAAGAACATACTTCAAAATAATAAGAGCTACCTAGGACAATGTCATGCAGAATGAGCAAAACCTGGAAGCATTCCTCTGGAGAACTGGAACAAGACAAAGATGCCCATACTCACCACTCCTATTCAACATAGTACTGGACTTCATGGCCAGAGCAATCAGGCAAGAGAAAAAAAAAAAATAAAAGGCATCCAAATAGGAAGAAGGAAAGTCAAATTATCTCTGTTTGCAGGCAATATGATTTTATATCTATAAAACTTCATATTCTCTACCTGAAAGCTCCTAAATCTGAAAAACAACTTCAGCAAAGTTTTAGGAAACAAAATCAATGCACATGTATCACTTGCATTTCTATAACAACAACATACAAACTGAGTGCCAAATCAAGAGTGCAATCCCATTCACAATAGCCACCCACACAGAAAATAAAATACCTAGGATTACAGCTAGTCAGGGAGGTGAAAGATCTCTACAAAATGAATTACACAACACTGCTGAAAGAAATTAGAGATGGCACAAACAAATGAAAAAACATTTCAGGCTCATAAATAGGCAGAATTAATATTAAAATAGCCATACTGCTCAAAGTAATTTACAGATTCAGTATTATTACTATCAAACTACCAATGATATTTTCATAGCATTAGAAAAAAAAGCTATTCCAAAATTTATATGGAACGAAGAAAAAAATAAAAGCCCAATAGCCATATCATCCTAAGCAAAAAGAACAAAATTAGAGGCATGACATTACTTGACTTCAAACTATACTACAGGATACAGTAACCAAAACAGCATGGTGCTAGTACAAAAACAGACACCTAAACCAACAGAATGGAAAAAAGAGCCCAGAAATAAATCTGCACACCTACAACCATATGATCTTCGACAAAGTGAATGAAAACAATCAATGGAGAAATAACTGTCTATTTAATAAATACTGCTGGAGTAACTGGCTAGCTACATGCAGAAGATTGAAACTGGATCCCTTCCTTATACTGTATACAAAAATCAACTCAAGATGGATTAAATACTTAAATGCAAATCACAAAACTATAAAAACTCTAGAAGATAACCTAGGAAATACCATTCTGGACATAGGCACTGGCAAGGATTTCATAATAAAGGCACCAAAAGAAATTGCAACAAAAACAAAAGCTGACAAATGGGATGTAATTAAACTAAAGAGCTTCTGCAAAGAAACTATCAACAGAGTAAACAGACAGCCTACAGAACGGAAGAAAATATTTGCAAACTATTCATCTGACAAAGAGCTAATATCCAGAATCTATAAGAAACTTAAACAAATTAACAGGCAAGAAACAACCAACCTCATTAAACAGTGGGTAAAGGACATGCGCAGACACTTTTCAAAAGAGACATGCATGCAGCCAACAGGTATATGAAAAAATTCTCAACATCACTAATTATTAGAGAAATGCAAGTCTAAATCACCATGAGATACCATCGTACACTAGTCAGAATGGCTTTTATTAAAAAGTCTAAAAAGTAACAGATGCTGGTGAGGTTGCGGTGAAAAAGGAACACTGTGAGAATGTTAATTAGTGGAAAGCAGTTTGGTGATTTCTCAAAGAACTTAAAGTAGAACTACTATTCAACCCAAAAATCCATTATTGAGTATATGCCCAAAGGAATATAAATCGTTCTACCATAAAGAGATATGCACACATACGATCAATGCAGCACTATTCACAATAGCAAAGACATGGAACCAACCTAAATGCCCATCAATGATAAACTGGATAAAGAAAATGTGGTACATATACACTATGGGACATTATGCAGCCATAAAAAAGAATGAGATCATGTCCTTTGCAGCAGCAAAGATAGAGCTGGAGGCCATTATCCTAAGTAAACTAAGGCAGGAAAAGAAAACCAAATACCAACTGTTCTCATTTGTAAGTAGCAGCTAATCACTGAGTCTACATGGACACCAAGAAGGGAACAATAGACACCAGGGCCTGTTTGATAGTGGAGGGCAGGACAACGGTGCGGATTATAAAACCATGTATCAGGTACTATGGTTATTACTTGGGTGATGAAATAATCTGTACACCAAATGCCCACAGCACAATTTACCTACATAACAAACTTCCACATGTACCCTTGAAACTAAATAAAAAGTTAAAAACAAACAAACAATAACAAAAGAAGAAGATGAGGATAATAATAATGGGTGGACTCTAACTCAAAGGATTAAATGAAAGAATAGAAATAAAATGCTTAGCTCACTGCCTGGCATAGACCTAGTATTCAATACAAACTAATTGTTCTGAAAAGCGACATTCATTAGTCCACATAATTCTTTCATGATCTTATAAATTTTACACAGCTTTTAGGAAGTGTAGGAGAAAGAGTTGGTAACTGTTCCACTGGTCGTCTTAGCACTAACACTTTGCTGCTCCCCAAGGTCTGCATCCTTAAAAAGGACCTAAGGAATTTCCCTTATGCGTGTGAGGTATGTTTCCTTGGAGGGAGAAATATCTGTGCTGGAGTCATGGAGTAATTCCAGGGAGGTGAATTTGGGCTCCGAACTCAAGAACAAATAGGTGTTTCATAATCTCTTCCTGTGGGGTTCTGGCAAAGCTGAACCACTTATATATGGAAGGGTTAGGTCTCAGCATGAAGATCCCTACAAATAATAGTTATGACAAGCTAGTGGGAAATTCTCTTAGGGAATTTTCCCTAAAACACAAACAAACACAGTTACTCTATGGGTAATGCTAAGAGTTGTCAGTGGCTTTTGGAATTTTCTTTTCTTTTCTTTTTTTTTTTTTTGAGACAGAGTTTCACTCTTGTTACCCAGGCTGGAGTGCAATGGCGCGATCTCGGCTCACTGCAACCTCCACCTCCTGGGTTCAAGCAATTCTCCTGCCTCAGCCTCCCGAGTGGCTGGGACTAGAGGTGTGCACCAACATGCCCAGCTAATTTTTGTATTTTTAGTAGAAACAGGGTTTCATCATGTTGACCAGGATGGTCTCGATCTCTTGACCTCGTGATCCACCCGCTTTGGCCTCCCAAAGTGCTGGGATTATAGGCATGAACCACCACGCCCGGCCGACTGGTCAGTGGCTTTTGGAATTTTCTAACCCAGGGCACCCAATTTAGTGGGTCTAAATTCTTCTTTGTGGCAGGCTGAAAAATGGTTCCCCAAAATTGTCCTAATTTCTGGAACCTGTAAATAGACCCTAAATACTGTCCCAAGTATGCTTAAGAAAAGGAAATAGAGGCCGGGCGCGGTGGCTCAAGCCTGTAATCCCAGCACTTTGGGAGGCCGAGGCGGGTGGATCACGAGGTCAAGAGATCAAGACCATCCTGGTCAACATGGTGAAACCCCGTCTCTACTAAAAATACAAAAAATTAGCTGGGCATGGTGGCGTGTGCCTGTAATCCCAGCGACTCAGGAGGCTGAGGCAGGAGAATTGCCTGAACCCAGGAGACGGAGGTTGCGGTGAGCCGAGATCGCGCCATTGCACTCCAGCCTGGGTAGCAAGAGCGAAACTCCGTCTCAAAAAAAAAAAAAAAAAAAGAAAAGGAAATAGAGTGAGCTTAAACACACACACACACACACACACACACACACACACACACACACACACACACACACGAAAGGTAAACACAGAGGTAAAGATTGGAGTGATGCAACCAAAAACCACAGGCTGCCAGTAGCCACCAGAATCTGGAAGAGGAGATAAATGGATTCTCCTCCAGAAACTCCAGAAGGAGTGTGCTTCTGATAGTTTGATTGTGTTTCTGATACTGTAGGAATTCTGGTCTCCAGAAGTGTGAAAGAATAAATTTCTGTTATTTTAAAGCACCCAGTTTGTGGTAATTTGTCACATTATTTACAGAAAACTAATATAATGTCATTACTACTTTTATTATCACTCTAATTATTATAGATTTTTTAATTCTGTTTGCTCATTGCTTCTTCCTTCCTGAAGTCACTGTCAGCCATTACAAAATTATTATTTTTCTTTCCTCTTGAGTTAGATTACACCGTGTATGCCATTGTAAATACAATTTCTTTGGCTCAGTTACAGGATGCTAAGTCATAAAAGCTATGTCTATCAGTCACCAACAAGTTCTCAAACAAATTATTTCTTTCCACGGAACAAATATTTATCAAACTGCATGTCAATTAAGTCAAGTAATTATACCCTTAAGAGATGCAATTTTCAAATTTAGTTTCTCGAAACCATATGCTACAGATGTTCAAGTTTGAATGTGTATCTATCTGGAAAACAATGAAGAAGCTGAGTCACACAAAGATATTAGGCAAAATATAATAAACTATTTGAACATTTGTAACATTGTGTTTGTATCTTTCTGTCAGCATTATGTGAACAGAATCATACTCAAAAATGAACTGACATGAATAATGAAGTAATGCTACATTGTGTCCTCCCCGTGGGTGAAAGGGAGCTCTGAGGCATTCCTCTGTGCACCATATTGTAAATCAACTGCTTCATTGCTCTAAATGGTACCCTAGTGACCAGAAAAGGCACATTAAACATCCCAGAATACCTGTCATAGCAGGAGGAAGCTTTGTACTTGTTCTATATTTCATCCATGAATATAGTAATATTCAAAAGCCATTATTTCTTAAGTCTCCATAAAGTCTGGTATTAAGATGACTAAGTCCACATCTCTAGAATAACTAAGAGTTTCCTCTTCTACAGAATGAGGGAGCTGGACTTGGAGATCTCTCCCACCTCTGAAGTTGTGTGAGTGAAGGATACTGGGGTCATGGAGTGACACCAAGGGTACTGTGACCACGCTGCTATTCAAAGACTTATTCAAAGTTATCAAATGGACTAACCATGTGGGGCTGTGGTTTAACAAGGAAAACAGCCAGAATAAACATGTCAGTGTCTCCGTTTTATGATTGTTTCATGTGCAGCGTTGTGACTTAAACCTCAGAGTTTTTCTTACACCAGATGAAGGTTCTTCTATAGTCTTCACAAGGACACAGTATTTGTCATGAGTAAATGTTTCTATTCTCTTGTTATAATTCAGATTATATCAAAATGTGCTTTGAAACAACAGGCAGTAGAATCACTTGGTATAATCTTGTCCTCAGTTGACATGTTTACTTATTTTTATCTAGCCTATGTTTGAAGTCCAACATGAGCTCATTTCTCATGCTGGGGTGGAATGTATGCTTCGCAAGAGCAAAGGAAGGGATCCAATTCTTTTGCATCTTTAGATATTATCTCATGAAGCAAGGTTCAGTTTAGAACTCTGAGATCTAGCACTGATTACTTAAATTTATGAGGAAATGCACACACAAAAATCTGAATGTCCAGACAAAAACTGAAAAAAAAAAACCTGTTATCTGTTTCCTCCTTTATAAAATGGAAACTAACAACTGTTTTCCCAATAAAATTGTAGTGAACCTGCACAAAGTAAGCATCTCCACAACATTTGCTATTACTATTGTGACTACTATTATTATTGTCCAAAGCAATTATTAACTAAGATGAACACAAATTTAGAGATTCTGCTACAATAAATAGCACTTTCTACTATTTAATTAATGTCTACATCATAATTAGCATACAATCATAGTAGGTTTATTCAATATGACACTATGATAATAACTTAATTCAAAGAGGTTTTGAAATACTGATTTAATAATACAAAATATTTTGAGAATCCTTCACCCAGGGAAGTTTTATTTATATAACTATTACCTACTTATAATAGAGCCCATCTGCCCACAAATCCCCAATAATACCGGCTCTACTTCTGCTGCAGTATAATGCTGCATTAGCAAGTTCACCTCTAATTTACTAGCACATACCCTGGAGTCTCTTTAGATAATTCCCAAACCTCCTGCTTTCTTTCATCTAACCAAAATGAATATATTTCCTTGTTGGTAAATATATGGGTTTCAGATGACTACAATGCAAGCTAGTAAGCCTTGTTTTTCTAATTTACGTTTTAATCAATTTCCTCTCCAATTTGCTCCATTTTGGCGTTTTTTTCTTCTTATGTGTTTGCAGTACTTCCTAGGGAATAATACCTACGTTTTGAATTACACATTTGTTGAATGCATCTTTTAGGTAATTAAGATGTTGAAGACAAGACTCAGCTATGATCCTTAAAGAATTCCCTTGCATATTTAATCAACCATTACACATACCACTAATTGGGATCAATTTCCATTTTCTCAGTTTTCGTTTGAACCATGAAAATCATGAGTACGCTTTTTCCTAACTATACCCAATTCATATATGTTAATACAAAATGTTCTTAGCAAATATCTCACTATAAGTTTTCAGTTTAAATGATTCCATTAGGATAATTAATCTGTAAATAAAATTAATTCAAAGTTGATAAAAATATTTAGTTAAAATTAAATCTGATTGTCATTTAGAGATTCTAAAATTTGAAGTCAATAAGAATAGGCTTAGCAATGTGAGGTATTACTTATAAATGATCACTAAAAGTAAATAAAAATTAAAAAATTTAAAAGCCATAGGTTAATTTTGAAGGGCTATAAATAAGAATAGTGGGCTTTTTAAAACATGCTTATGTATTGCAATCTTCCAGTAATATAATAAACCCAGCACACATTGATCAAGTCTATCTGCACTTATAGATTAAAAATGAAAAGAAGATCAAGAAGTTTAGATAGAGAATTGGATTCTCAACCAATTCTAATTCTGCTACTTAGGGAAAATTATTAAGGCCAGCATCACTAAGAATGGTGGTTGATATTTTATGCCTGCTTTTTGATTGGAGATAATAGTTTTGGTTAATAAATATATCAAAATTAAAGCAACACCTTAATTTTGGTGCTAGTTGTCTTTCAAACAAACTAATATTAGCTGAGCTAAAGAGAAAAAAAAACCCAGGAAACATGAAAAGGGGAGGCATTAAACCACTGTGAGTTTTCCAGACATGCCATTTTGCATGCATCTCTCTTTCCATTTTCATTGATATAGGAGTTATGCCAAAAACACCTTAACAAATGATATGATCTATTTCTTTGTCATCACAAAACTATCTAAACATTCATTTCAGTAAATCATCTCTTAGGCATTTAACTTAAGTGTTAAACTGGTATTTTCTCGCAAGTCAATGTGAGGTGGATCAGACCACAGTAATTCAATACAGCAAGTGTCACTGTAAAGAAGGCCCTCAGGTGGTCTTCCTAATTATTTCATACTAATTAGCTCAGATAATACAAGGTTCTGTTTTATTACCTTGATGCAAGTGGCTGATGCTTTGGGATAGTTAATTCTGCTATATTTCATTTTTAAATTAAACATCATTACCTGGATATAGCTTTTTATTATGCTTTAATATTGTCAATAGGTAAAACATTACAGGAAAGAAAAAAGATTATTTTTCAAATTTCTTAGCACTGATAACTTAATTGCAATTACTTTCTATTTTTTAAATATTGGACTTCATTAATCAAACACTATTCTGGTATTTAGCTTCACATTGTTAAAATCAGAGACAAAGGCCACATAAATGGAAACTTTAGGGAGACAATATTAGCTGTGTTTCACCTTACATGCTGAATATGTATTTAATTTTCACTTCACTACTTAAAAAACTCAAATATTAATTCCATGGTACTTTTCAAGTTCTTACTAATCCTAAGTGTTTAGTTCTGTGATCATTTTTATCTTTGAATAACAGTCATCATTCTCCTTTCCCGCATTGTCATAACCATCATGTTTCCATGGAAACTGTAGAGAAAGAATAAAATGGTAAAACACCTCAATTTAGGTTTATGTTGATAGGGTTGTTTTTTATTAGGAGCTTCAATTATTTAGACAGATAAGAATATGTACAGTGACTTAATAAATGATATAGAATAATAGCTGATCTTTCAAAAACAGGAAATTATGTTTCCAGCTAATAGAACTTAACCTTTTCTGTTAAGAAGTAGTTACTTGGTGATGAGGCTTGGGGGTGTTTTGTTTTCTTTATGTTTCATTGTACTGTTGAAATTTCTGTTATCATGTAAAATAAAACAACAAAATAAAAAATAAATATCTTTAAAAAGAACTAGTTGTTACATTCTTGATAAGTATATTTTAATCTTTACCAAATGTCATAAACATAGTTACCTTTTAGACAGACATTCAAAATAGAAAAAATAATTCTTCAATGCAAATAAAGGGATTTAGAGAAGTCTTATAAAATCTACTTGTAGTTTCATCCAAAATATTGTTTACTTCCCACATTCTGCTCCTCTAAAAATCACACATTTTAAAAAAGCAACCAATTTTAATTTAAATACAAGTTAAGTGTATTTGAATCTCTGAATGAAGGGATCCAGAGGAAACTGGTTATAGTACTTGCTTCTAAAAAGGAAGATTTGCCTTTTGCTTTGTGTGTATGCGTGTGTGTGTGTGTGTGTCTCTCTCTCTCTCTCTCTCTCTCTCTCTCTATATATATATATATATATATATATATATTTTTTTTTTTTTTTTGAGATGGAATGTTGCTCTGTCACCCAGGCTGGAGTGCAGTGGTGTGATCTCGGCTCACTGCAACCTCTGCCTCCCGGGTTCAAGCGATTTTCCTGCCTCAACCTCCTGAGTAGCTGGAACTACAGGCACATGCCACCACACTGGCTAATTTTTTGTATTTTAATTAGAGACAGGGTTTCACCATGTTAGCCAGGATGGTCTCAATCTCCTGACCTCATGATCCACCCACCTCGGCCTCCCAAAGTGCTGGGATTACAGGCATGAGCCACGGCACCTAGCCCACTTTGTGTATATTTTATTTGACAATGTTGTTTATTTAAAAAGCTAGTTATTGCTTACTTGAAATGTAGACCATCCCTTGAAATAAAGATCCTGGCTAATAAAAAACCACAGTGTTAAATGATATTTGAAATAGTTCTAAAATGTTTAAGTCAAATGGTTAAGCAAAATGTATAGGTTTTCACAGAGAAAAAAGCTTCTTTTTGTTTTTACCACAATTTTCAGTTTGTAAAGTGGCAAATTTTTCCTTTTATATTTGCTCTATGGAGATGGAGATTTGGGCAAATGGCTGAGAAAACTGGGGCCTTTGTTGTTCTAGGAGAACTCAGTAGCAGTCACTTTTAACTACTGTATTTCCTGTCAACTAAAAAATTATAGGCCAAAGGGAAGAGATCCTGAATCTCATTATAACAACAATGAAATTAAGGTCTTAACAAAGACAAAAATTAATAGAAGCAGAGTGACATGGATATTGCAAAGCCTTTTGCCTCAACTGTCTTGCGGGAAAATTACTTGGTAAAAAAAAATACTCAGCTTACTATGTTTTCTAAAACTCAAGGATGAGGTTTCTGTCTCCTTAAATCCTAATATAAGAAAGGAATTTCTAAGGCAAACTAAGGTTTACATCCAAACAAATCTATATAGCTTTTTTTTTCTTTTTATAGAAATATTTAATATCTTAGAAAGTTACCAATTCTGTGGAGGTTGTGATATTAATTGATATCTGGAAAAAGATTAGTTCAACTGGTAGCATAAGCAAAGTTTTCATCCTTGACTTCCTCCTAAAATAATAAAGTCCCTTTGACTTTATGAACATAGATGGAAATTGAGAATATCAACCTAAAATGCTTGATGAAAATGTCTTTCTTAAAGAATCATACATGTAGTTTGTAACTTAATATGCTATTCCCTTAGAATAAAATGGGAATACTGCAAGATTAGATAGAGCATACTGTAAGTTAAATAATACATTTATTGAAAAAATCATTCTCTGACCTTATTCCCCTTAAAAAAGTCTAGAAACAAAGAAAGCCAATAGCAGTGACCATACTTAGTACCATTTCTGGCTAAAAGGAACATGGGTTACTTGAGAAATGTCTGATCTCAGGTCCAGGGGAGGAAAGGTACATGAAAAACCCT